ACGAGGATTGGTTGCTTGTGAGTAGTTGGAAGCATGATATTGGATGGACCATATCGACATTATTATGAATAGAAAAGATTCTATTAAGAATGAGTAGTCATATGGAAAATATGGAAATGTTTCCATATTGGATGGACCATATCGACATTATTATGAATAGATAAGATTCTATTAAGAATAAGTTGTCATATGGAAAATATGGAAACGTGTCCATATTGGGAATTGAATATTGAAAATATATGTCTAGATTAGAAACATTTATGCAAAAGGATGTTCAAAGGAATGTACTTTGAGTGAGAGACATCATATCTAAGGAATTGTCTTGTAACAATCTCCGATAGAGGACTTTGTAATATCATTGGCAATAATCTTTGTGACTTTGGTGCTGGTGCAGTGACATTACGAAAGGATCATTGCATAAAATGTTAGAATCTAGCATATTCTATAAGTAGCAAGAATTTGATATTCTTTCACTTGTGGAAAAGGATTTGGAGTTGTGAAATGAGAATGATTGGACATGTGTTCAATTTGATCTATTTCACAAAGAAAGAACCATAGGTAAACATTGTGTGCATGCTAGGAGCATGGGACAAGTGTAATAATTCAAGTAAGAAGTCGATTACCCGAAACGACAAATAATGAGTAATCAATATGGTGATAAATAAAAGGTGTTTTATTTATGCTCAAAGGTTGAGGCCATATGGGATTAGTATTATTCTTGTGTTTCACTTTGCATGTTTTGACTTCCTGAATAATTTAATTGGTTTAGAACAGTCAAATTATTCGAACGAGCCACAGTCGTTCATATGTTGGAAGTAGATATGAATGAAGACTATCGTGAATTGGTGTGTGGATTATCTAAAAGAGTATTAGACATAAGTAAATGTTTGCTGCAACGTTCATGAGTGCTTATGAATAAGATTTGAGCATTGGATTAAACCCACGCTCACTTAGGATCACTCCATGAATTGTATCACGAGTGATTGGTGAGATGATAACATCTTATATTCTTGAAACCGAGATGTGTGAGTTATATCTTGCTAATCGGTTGCACATTGATAATATGAAAACACACTAGTAACTTAGTGTCATAAAACATATTGTTGTGTGTGATTCGGTAAGTGGGTGCAAGCGAGCATTGAATCAAAGTTTATCCGTTCCTTTTATCCCAAATAGGATAAAAGCGATATCTTTGGGCCCCTCGATGATTTAGTGATGACAAACGTAAATGCTCGGCCGGGCTAGGGCTAATTTGATTTGTTCAAATAGTCAGTTGTCATAAATCAGGAATCGAGAAATAGTACAAAGAGGATGATTTGAAATCATGTCTCATACGATATCTAGAATGGAGGAATATATGATCCCTTATCTAAAGGACACGCGTATTTGATAGGATCAGAGTTGACAGCGGCTTTGGAAAGCTACGATTGCATATCAGGATCTGAAGTCATACGCATAATAGTTATTAGACTTATCCAAGTAGGAGACTGTTGGATTAGTGTCTAAGTCCATAACTATTTTGGTATGTACTTGACCCGATGGTGCATGGTCCTTTTGGGTTGCCTTCACCAAAGCAACTTGATAGGATGAATTATGGAGAGAAAGGATTAAATATGATTTATTAATATATTATGAGAATAATATATTAAAGGCGAAATCATATTGTTTAATTAATATTAGTCAAGAATTAATTGGTAATTAGTTTTGTGACTAAAAGAGATTAATTAAACTTAAGGGACTGGAATTGTAATTATAAGATAATTGCAATTTGGGCCATGGATTGCCTTATATTAAGGAGTGGACGAATTCTATGGGGAAACCCATAAGAAATCGTCCAAGGCCTTAAGGAAAGGAGTCCATGGGTTGCTTAGGGCTTAAGCATCCAAATTAGGGTTTCCTTGTTAGATAACCCTAATAACCTCACTATCTATAGAACCCTTATAACCCAAAAACATGGCTATGCATCCTTCTAGGGTTTCACATGTTTTAGGGCAACCTCCATCCTCTCTCCTCTTCATCCTCTTGCTCTTGGTGTTTGTGAACCATTAGAGGAGTGACATTTGTAACTCTAAGCTTTCTAAAGTCATTACAAGGAGGAATTGGATTGTTATTGATACATAACAATCAAGGTAATGTCTTAAACCCATTCTTATGTTAATATGATTACTTGTATGCTAGAATTAGGGTTTATAGTCTTGGATAACTTGCATGTACAATAAAGAAACCTAGATCCAAACATTAGGGTTTGTATGAGCACATAGGATGTTCTTGTGACCAAAACCCATCAGAGTCAACATGTATGTGTTTGTTTCTCTCTCTCTCTCTCTCTCTCTCTCTCTCTCTCTCTCTATATATATATATATATATATATATATATATATATATATATATATATATATATATATATATATATATATATATATATATATATATATATATATATATATGGAAAAGTGAATAGATGACTATCATATATGTAATATTATGTGTAGAACCATCAAAATTAACTTTATTTTGATTAAAAAAACACAATTTTCTTTCATTTTTAGCTTCTTCCTATTGTTTTTGAAGTCATATTAATTTAGATTCTGTGATTCATCCCCAATATCTATGTACTTCAAATGTGTTATTTTATTAGACCTCTAGTAAGTTTTATAAATTCCTTTGACACCTACCGTATATATACTTACATAGTTTTTTTATAGGTTCTGAAAAGAAGCTTATTGGGTTTTTTAATGAACACTTTCAATCTTTCATTATAGTTTTCTATATTATATTTCAATATGGAGAACTATAGGTAGTTGTTAAAATATTTGTATGCACGATTTGTGTTGCAAAATTAAATTTATAAAACCCCATAAAAAATATATACAAAGCCTAACATAAGGTCTAATAAAAGATGCAAGAAATATGATAGAGAAATTTGGTTGCATTTAGTTAAAATAATGTAGTTTTTTTGATAGTTCTATATCTAATATTAGATAAATAACAGTCATATATTTTCTATGCTCATAATAACAATATATTATAAATAACACCAATATGAGTTCGTATAAACAATTGCATTAACTAATAAATGATTACATTAACTAAAAAACAATGAGATTAACTGATAAATGATTACATTAACCCAATACAGACACTCTTACGTCTAAAAACACACCCAAATTCTCTTTGGGGCATTTCATCAACCAATTGGTCTTCACTTCAAAGTAACACCTATAATTGATTAATGAATCTCTGATTGGAAGAAGATGACATCTTCAACGGTTACAATCTACAAATTTGAATACGATAGAAGAGAAACGAGTGTATCGAGATGTTGAACCAAATTTGAGTACGAGAGCCAAGAGGAGAGAAAAATAGTAGATTATCAATTAAGGTCTTAACTAGCACGACTGTGTGGCTAGAAGATGACAACTTTTGTAGTTTAAAGTTTGGTACGATTTAAATTTAGATAGCTAAATGTTGACATTTTTATATTTAAGTCAAAATAAAAAACATGGTTTTGATCACCAATTTTAATCTAGACCTCATCATTGTTCAACATTATATTTTAAATAAATAAATAAAATAAAAACAAATATCATATCTCTCTTCCTAGTTACATTTCTTTGAAAATATTTTTTTATTCTTTTAAATTAACTAGATGTAAATACCATAATGCTAATCGATTATTACTTTATCAACTCGTCTATAGCTGTTTCTCTGCTAAAAGGTTGAGGGTAAAATCTTGATGTGTAGAAAAAAATGTAGATTTAAGAGTAAAATAATAGGTGCGTGTGTAAGCTGTTATAAAATAACCGAGTATTATTTTATCTAGCTACACTTTTTACCTGATTATAGCCTTCAAATAGTAATATTCAAAACAAAAGTTTGAAATATACAATGACTGAAAATACATTTCATTCTTTTATGTATTTAAATCATTAAATTGTAACAGCCTATAGCTCTTAGGCCTAAGCTTCTAACAGAATAACATAACACAGATAGTTCATTTAATGGGCCTACATTGGACCATTTTCACAAGCCTAGAACTGGGCCAAATAACTGGACCATGAAATGATGAACCTACGACAACGACATACACAGCACCGCTGAATAAATCTATCACTCTCCTAAACCGTACAAAACTCAAGTGTGCTGTGCTGGCAGCAATCTAACTCCGAATAAATGTCTGCCATCACAGCCGTCCATTCCACCCTGTCATCCACTTTATCACCTTCACCACCCCTTTTTATTTCTATTTCTATTTTTATTATATATTATAATTATAATATAAAGAGTATATTATTATTATTGCCACCAAATTCACCACATTCACGTTCCACCCCTCTATCTCCCTCGTAACTGCCGTTTTGCCCCCTCCAATCCATCATCAAAACTTCATCAACTCAAAATTTCTCCATCAATCTTTTATCTCAACAAAAAAGAACCCAACAAGCTAGACCCATAAAATGATAAAATAAGGCTGATTCCGCTTTCAAGGTAAACACGAGTCAAACAGAGTATTCAAAATACGCCTAATTTGGCTAAAAGTTTGTAAACACAATATCAAGTTCAAAAGGTTGTATGAGCAAAAAAAACATGTAATGGATACAATAATGGCAGCACATTATACTACATACTTTTGTTGAATACGGAAACCATTCAAATAGCATCAAAGAATTGTGTAAAATGCATGTTTCATTCATTCAACGTTATTTCAATTTCATTTAATAAACAACAAATTTTGTGAAACAAAGAAATAACTCTTTACAACAACATGAACTTGAATGTAGTCTGTAAATAGGGATGGAAGGAAAATAATAACAGAAGAAGGTAGCAACAAAAAGAGGGGGAAATCTTGAAATGGTTCTCTTGAAAATGGCTGCTTTTTTTGAAAAGGTTGTCTGTAAAAAAACGCAGAGGAAAAGAAAAAGAAACTTTTTTTCTTTCTCCTTTTCCATCCAATAATTTAGAGAGTAGTCGATTTATAAGATGACAAAATGGAAGAAAATTCATACAAATACATACAACAATCCTATACATAAAACAGCCAAATTGACAATCCGTACCGTCGCCGAAGAGTGCATTTCCCCCGGTGGCGATGATGGCCCGAACAATTCCGGTGAAAAATTTATGGGCATGACTGGTGCCGGAGCGCCGCTAATGGGAGGGGATTTTTCCAGCACGGCATTTTTCCCGAAAATCTCCTTTGGTAACAAAACCCTAGAAATTCCAAAAATTGCAACGGGATTCTGATCAAATACGGTTTGTGTTACGGAGGCTTGAATGATGCCCGTATTAATTGCAACCGACCCGTTAACCCGAGAAATGTTCAATGTGAAGCTCCCGGCGCCTTTGTCCTCGGTGGCTAGGGTTGGTTGAACAGGATTCACTATCGATTGAAGCGACCCGAGGGGATAGTAAGAATGTAGCACATGAAACCTTAATACGTCGGCCTTCTTATCCGCCGGTAACGATTGAAAGTTCGCCGACGCTGGTAGATTGGAGAATGCGTCGTCGGTCGGGACGAACAGTGTAATTCCCGCACCACCTTCATCAGATTCGAATTCCTGAACGACACCAGATGCAGCAAGCATTGACGCCGCCACATTGAAGTTGTGACCATCAATTAACGCTTTACTGATATTAAGCCCTAATGGCGGTCGACTCTCCGATGCAAGTAGATCGAATCCGTAAGGTACGATTAGTGAATTGACGGAGAAGATGCTAACGTTGTACGGTAGGTTCTTAATTAGGGAAATAACGGTGGCGTTATTAGGTGCTTGTGAGTACGCGGCTGGGGATCGGACGGTGGTTGTATCGGTTTTATCATCGTAGGTAATATTAACCGAGCCGAAGTTGTTGCTGGCACGGCCGGTGGTTTGGAAGAGAGTAGTGATGAGTTTTCCGGAGGGAGGAAAGCGGCTGAGGTCGTGGAGAGAGAGGTATTGTAGGAGGACATGGTAGCGGATGACGTCCGCGATGTTGGTGGAGGAGGGGGAACGACGGATGAGGTCGGAAGATCGGAGGAAGGAATTGGGAACGGCGAGGAGAGTGAGAGATGTACGTTGGGTTAGATCGGCGGCGACGGTGGTGGAGGACAGGAGGTCGGAGAAGTCGGAGAGATCTGGGTAAGGGGATAAGAGATGGGTAATGTTAACGGCGGAGATGAAGGTGGAGTGTAAGAGTAAATATAGCAAAATAATAGGGGTGAAATGGGAAATAAGTTGAGAAACAGCCATTTCTATCGAGTGGAAGCTGAACTAGTGAGAGTGATGGGGGATGATCGGGTGTTGATGGTGTATGTGAATGAATGATGATGATGATGATTTGTTGAAAGCATATACATCCGTAATTAGGATAAATCAAAAATCAAGTCCATACACTTATGGTTTTTGACAATTTTAGTCCCTATACTTCACAGCCACTACATTTTAGTCCTTTTTTGTTTTATTTGCTACGCTGCTTGATTAGCTTACAAATCCAAACATATTGCTTAAGAGGTCAATTTTGGATTAATAAGAAAAGAAAAATTAAATTGATTTGTATTTTTTTTATATCTATAAATATTCTTACTCAATAAAATTATGATATATATCATTATTTCATATTTTTTTAACTAACTCATTAAGATTATATTAGAAATATATCAAATAAAATAAAATTGAATAGTGATTTATCATAATTTTAATAGGTAAAAATAATTATAGATATAAAAATATGAGATAATTTAATTTCTCATAAAAAAATTTGGAAACATGGAAACGTATAGTCATTTTATTTCTATCTGATTACATGACTTTTTAACGAAAAAGTATATGGGTATACAACATACATTTAATTCCTCTTAGAAATAGACATCTAATGGGAAAGTAGACCATCTTAAATGATAACATGAATATGAGTAGTATGGATAAAAGTAACGAAAGTTGATGTGAAAAGTACAAACGTTCACAAAATATCGGGCGGTATAATGCAAATAGCCAAAAATATTCTAGGTGGAGCATTTAATACCAACAATGAATTCCGTAGACTTTGTGTAGAAAGAAAAGTAGATATGTTATAGTGTTATACCATGAAAACACTGATGTTTTTCTCGTTATTTAATTAAAAAATAATGGATTATAGAAGATTGTTTCTTTAATATTAGAAACTCGGTATCTGAGGTTGGTATATTGGTTTGGTGTAGGGATGGTTTGGTGTAGGACTGTAAACGAACTGAACGTTCGATGAACCGTTCGTGAACTGTTCGGAGAGAAGTTCTTTTATGTTCGTTTATTTAATAAATGAACGAACATGAACAAAATTATCGTGCGTTTAGTTAAATAAACGAACATGAACAATGGTCTCGCTCGTTCATTTATGTTCATGAATGTTCGTTTACGATGTTTATTTACGTTTGTTTATATTCGTTCGTTTAAGTTTATTTATATTCATCTATATTCAATTATTTTTTATTATATTGCTATATTATATGTTCGTTTATGTTCATATATGTTTAATTGTGTTTTTTTATCTTTGTTCATTTATGTTTGTTCGTTTATGTACGTTTAGCATGTTCACGAACATAAATGAACGAACATGAACAAAGTAATTTGTTAAACAAACGAACATGAACAAGAAAATCTCGTTCGTGTTCGTTTGTTGTTCGGCTAACTTAAACGAACGAACATGAACAAGACCTTGTTTGTGTTCGTTTGGTTCGTTTACAGCCCTAGTTTGGTGTTTTCTAATTACTCGAGTTTGATCCTCGCTACAATAACATATCTATTCATCTTCACATGTGGATGTACACTATCACTTCGAAAGTGAGGCCACATAAATCTGGCTTGTAATGTGATTGGTATTATTTATTTTAGTTTGTTATTTACGTTTTCTTTGGTTGAATATTGTTAGTCTGTATTCCATTGGCCACTATTATGATCTAGTTTAGGTTTTGATTTAGGTTGGGGTTAATGACTTAAGAGGGTAATTAAGTTTTAACTTTGTTCACATTAGGTCCTTAAGATTACTTTTATACATATTACACTAACATGGTCGTTATAACGGTTTAAAAAATGTGATAAAATTTTAATTTTATCCACATTAAGCCCCTAAGGTCTTTTTTGTACATATTACACCAACATGTTTGTTATAACCGTTTAAAAAAATGGTAATAAGGTTTTAATTTTGTCAATATTATGTTCTTATTTTTAATATTTTTATCATTTCATCTAACTCTTTTATAATTTATATTAGTATCTAATTAGATGATTTCATCATTTCATTTTCTCATTTTAGTTTTTCATTCATCACCACTATGGTGTCAATTGAAAGGTCCCAATTTTTAATATTTTTATCAATTCAGTTAGTTGTGGTGCGCCAAACATAACGTTTATCATTAAAACTTTGATTATTATTAGTTTTTTTTTTTTTTGTAAAAATGACAAAAAATTATTATGTAACATTTCAATTGAAACCGTGGTTGTGGTGAATGGGTGACCAAAATGAGAAGATGAATGATGAAGTCATCTAACTAGATACTAATGTAAATTGTAAAACAGTTAGGTGAAATGATAAAAATATTAGACAATCATAAGTTTATTTATTATGATGTTTTACCTTCATGTATTTCCTTTATTCTTAGAGGGCTGTTACTTTGTCTTTTATAAATTGTTTTGATCTCCTCCTTATTGGGCATGGAGAGTTATTCTCTCATGGTATCACTCGTCTAGATCCTGCCTCCCGCTATTCTTCTTCCCCACCCGTTTCTTCTTCTTTTTTTTCCTTATGTTTTCCATTTTTGCCGATCCATGGCATCCTCCTCATCTTCTGATACATTCCTCCCCACGAGCACTATTTTACACCTCATCACCAATCGGCTCTTCTAGTCAAGTCAGAGCACCACCTCCGCATATTGTTTCCCTATTGTGCAGGTTGCCTCGTCGCCGTCCTATTCTAGTCAAGTTAGACCACCACCTCCGCCTACCTGTGGTCTATGTGATGATGCCTAAAATGCTCCGGTGGTTAACCCTACACCTACTAACCTCAACCCTCATGTGGTTTCTGAACATGTTGCATCTGAGCTTGTAGCATCTGATCTTGTTGCATCCGAGCCTGCTACATCTGAGTTTACTTCCCTTGCATCTCCTGCTCATGATCCGGATGCCCCCGGCCCTGGTGTGGACCATCTGATGACTACGAGAGCTAAAACTGGCATTTTTAAACCCAAACATCAGGCTGATTTAGCCCACACTAACTCTCATGGGCTTTTCTCTGCTTTATTTGCTTCCAAAAGATCCAAAGGGTTGTCAAACTGCTTACAAACACCCGCATCGGATGACTGCCATGCATCAAGAAATGGATGCCCTTCATCGAAATAATACTTGGACGTTGGTTCCCAGACCTGAACGTCATAATGTTGTGGGTTGTCGTTGGCTATTCCATACTAAATTTCATGTTGATGGTTTGATTGAAAGACACAAAGATCGTCTCGTTGCTCAGGGATTCAGTCAAGTCCCGAGGCACGATACTCTTACACTTTCAGTCCGGTCGTCAAAGCCTTTACTGTTAGAATTGTGCTCTCTTCGGCTACTCTTAACAACTAGAAACTTCACCAAATTGATGTCAACAGTGCTTTTCTTAATGGCGAACTGAATGAGCTTGTATATATGGAGCAACCACCGGGCTTTTCAAATGCTTTATTTCCTCATCATGTTTTTTGTCTTAACAAAGCTCTCTATGGGCTTAAATAGGCTCTACGGGCCTGCTACATCGGCTCAGCGCCTTCCTTATTGCTACTGGGTTTGTATGTATTAAGGTGGATACATCTTTGTTTCTGTTTAAACGGGATGTGTGCATTTTGTATCTACTTGTCTATGTCGATGATTTAATTTTGACCGGAAATCAAGACTTTGCAATCCAGTCTTTTATTGCCAAATTGCATGATACATTTGTGATTAAGGATCTCGGACGCCTTAATTTTTTCCTTGGGCTCAAAGTCATCTATACTGATATTGGCTTATTTCTTAGTCAATCCAAGTATGCTCACGATATTGTACAACGGGTAGCCCTTCTTAATGCAAAACCATCTACCACCCCACTTGCTTCTAATGCCGAATTTGTCTCAAGTGGTGATCTTTTTGATGATATGATAGTCTACCGGTCTCTTGTCGGTGCGCTGCAATACCTGACCATCACCCGTCCTGATATTTCCTATGTGGTCAATCAAGTTACTCAGTTTCTTCAAGCTCCTACTCGCTCTCATTTTCAGAGTGTCAAGCGTACTCTTCGCTATGTTAAAGGCACTATCTCTTTTGGTTTCACCTTTTCTTGACATAACTCCACTGCCCTTCTTGGTTATTCTGATGCGGACTGGGCGCGATGTCTTGAGATGCGTCGTTCTACTTATGGCTACTCTATTTTTTTAGGTGGCAATCTTGTCTTGTGGACTGCTAACAAAAAACCTCGTTCGAGTTGTGAGTCTGAGTATCGAGCGATGGCAAACACCGCCGTGGAAATAATCTGGATCACTCATTTATTGTGGGAGCTACATACTCTACCTCTAGATCGTCCCACGCTCTTGTGTGATAATAAAAGTGCCTTATTTCTCATGCAAAACCCGGTCTCTCACAAACGAACTAAGCATATTGAGTTGGATTATCATTTTATTTGTGAACTTGTCTCTTCCAGGAAGCTCCACACCAAATTTGTCCCTACCAAGCTTCAAGTGGCTGATATCTTTACAAAAAGTCTTCCACCCCACTTGCTTCTAATGCCGAATTTGTCTCAAGTGGTGATCTTTTTGATGATATGATAGTCTACCGGTCTCTTGTCGGTGCGCTGCAATACCTGACCATCACCCGTCCTGATATTTCCTATGTGGTCAATCAAGTTACTCAGTTTCTTCAAGCTCCTACTCGCTCTCATTTTCAGAGTGTCAAGCGTACTCTTCGCTATGTTAAAGGCACTATCTCTTTTGGTTTCACCTTTTCTTGACATAACTCCACTGCCCTTCTTGGTTATTCTGATGCGGACTGGGCGCGATGTCTTGAGATGCGTCGTTCTACTTATGGCTACTCTATTTTTTTAGGTGGCAATCTTGTCTTGTGGACTGCTAACAAAAAACCTCGTTCGAGTTGTGAGTCTGAGTATCGAGCGATGGCAAACACCGCCGTGGAAATAATCTGGATCACTCATTTATTGTGGGAGCTACATACTCTACCTCTAGATCGTCCCACGCTCTTGTGTGATAATAAAAGTG